CTTTTATAAAAGAAAGCAGAGGCTACATTTATTCATTAAATCATTTATTTGTTCAATAGTCCTACCATATTAAAGGAAAGTACGATTTTTTTTATTCTGTGTCTTTTACATCATGTATCTTGATCCCATTCCTTTCCCAGTCCCTTCACATCTGCCTTCCACCCCTGCACCTCCCCCAAACAAAGCAAAATTTAAGAGAAAAAAAAGGAAAAAAGTTAAAAAGTGAAAAATTAAAAATCTTGTCATGGAAGCTGCAGTGTGACACAGTAAGTCATGCCATAAACCCCTTTTGTCCATTTATCTTGACTTACAAGTGTTCATTGCAAAGTGTCATTGGTCTGGTTCCAGTCCTCTAGTTTCTACTACACCGTCGATGCTGGGCACTCACTACGAACCCTCCTGGGTATCCTGTTGTTGCCCTGGGTTGTGGAGATCCTGCAGCTTTGGGTCTACAGATCAGGTTCCTTCATGTGTTCCAGCAGGCCATAGATGGGGTAGATGGGAAACTAAGATTATGTAGCTAATTAATTCTTTTCCTATAATCAAGACAGAATGTATAAGGAATGGAAAGAGAATCGTATAAAAAATGTCGAGGCTAGAGAGATGGTTAAGTTGGTAAAATTCTTGCTATGCAAGCATGGGGATCTGAGCTTGCTCCCTAGAAACCATGTTTTTAAAAAAAAAATGGGCACAGCAGAGCATCTCTGTAATCTCAGGGCTAGAGTGGTGGAGACAGACAGCTCCTGGGCTTGCTAGACAGCTAGTCTAGTCAGATAAGTGATTCCTAGGTTCAATGGGAGGCTCTGTCTTTAAGAGGAATAAAATAGAAGAAGATACCAGAATCAGTCAATGGCCACACACACACACACACACACACACACACACATACACACACACATACACACACACACCACTGTGATATCTATTAGTATTATCAAGTACTATAGGGAAATAAATTTAGACTTTTGCTACAGTGCTTTAGCCTTCTGCTAGAGGAAGGGTTTTCCAAAAGAGGAAATGGTCCTCCACCCTAGTATTTGCCAAGCTCACAGAGGGTGGAGGGGGCGGTGAGTCTCTGAGCAAAGCACTTGCAGGGACACTGGAGTGGGTGTTTGGCAGGTCCTATCTTGTAACTCATGAGGGTGATTATTATCTTAACTGCTTTCAGGTCAGCTGAACCACCGAACAAGGCTAGAAAAATCCTCCAAACGGATTGAGGAAATGCTGAAGGCATATCTGTGTGTCCAAAGTAGAGGCTCTCAACCGCTCACCAGAGTGTCTTATGATTCTGAAAGCCTGCTCCCCAAAGGGTCCTGAATGGTACATGGAGAAGCATCCCAAAGATGTGCCACATCAGCTTCCACTGCCTAAAGGCACAAACAGAGAAGTGAGGAACAGGGTTGAGACAGCTGCTATCACAGGACAGGAAACTGTTACCAGATAAAGAGGATGAGAGATACTGTGTGATGACATCTGAAAGAGAAAAAAAAAGAAGAACAAGATGTGGGAGATACAGGAGAGCCAGATATACCCCAAACCTGCAGCTTTCCTCAGTGGACATCCCGGGATCCTGGCAGGTCAAAGAGGGGAAAGACCAACACCATGCACGGGATGGTCTCCTGCAGCCAGGTTAATGGGATCCTGCGCAGTAGGGCCAGACCATGCCTGCAGAGAATCTCAGGCGGAACAATCAGCCATACAGCAGTGACAAAATTAAAAGCCCAACACCAATCTTGATGAACCTCCTTAAACAGGAAGCTGTGCCCTTCCCCTTCTGAGGTACTCAGCAACAGGGAGAGAGTGCAGACTAAGGCACACACGATGTCTGATAGGAATTTCGGCTGCATCAGAAAGAAGTACCATGCGGGGCCAGGTTTGGTGATGCACACTTTTAATCCAAGCCCTTGGAAGACAGAGGCAGGGGGATCTCAGTGAACTCGAGGCCAGCCTATATACATAGGGAGCCAGGACTACATATACAGACCCTGTCTCAAAGCCCAAAAACAAAGGAAGAGGGAAGGGGAGGAGGAGGAGAAGGAGGAGGACGCGTGTGTGTCATTAGACGAACATGCAGTGCCTGGAGGTAAGGGCACTGGGCATGTTCCAGCCTGCACCATAAACAGAGGGTTATGAGATGGTGAAGAGCCAGAGATGCAGACATGTAGGAAAGGAATAGGTAAGTGAGATTCTCCAGCTCATCAGTAGTCTGGAAGCAGAGGGAAGTGCTGGCCGTGTTGAAAATGTAGACAGGGAGGCATCTGAATGGAATATAAACTTACCACACAGGAAAATAACTGGAATTTCACTCAACTAAACCAAGCCGTTCTCTATGTATATTTGCAGATTTGTGTTTAGTGGATGTAAATATGACAGGCACTTGGATTTTAATCTGGCATGCTTACTTTGTGTTGTTTTGGTTTTCATTCATTTTCTTCATTCTTAGAATTTCATACAATGCATTTTGATCATTCTCAACCCCTTCAAATCCTCCTAGATCTATCTCCCCTTCCCTACCCACCCAACTTTATATCCTCTTTTTTTTTTTAATCCAAGTCCAGTTTGTGCTGCCCCTATATCCTTGGGTATCTGTAGATCCTGGAGCATGCTTGACCTACCAGGGACCATGCTCTTAAAAAAAGAGTTCAGGGAGGAGGCAGAAAGGATGTGGGAGCCGGAGTAGTGGACAACTAGAAGGAAGGGATGCTTTCCAGACACAGCAGGGCAGTTGTCTAAATGAGTTCATAGCAGTTGTGATAGCATGCAAAGGCCTCTGCAAGCTCCAGCAGGACCAAGTCCCAGCATGGAGATGGGAGGTAAGCACAAAGCATCCCCCCCACAACGCCCCCCAAGCAGAGAAACTATTGGTAATTGATAGCCGACACATTCACTTTTAATCCCAAGGGCTTAGGACAGAGCTGTCACACAATGGCATGTAATAAGTAAGTATGTGTAAATGGATGTATTTGATGCTTGTTAATTTAAAAAAAAAAAAAGATAAAAAAAGACCCACTTAGAACAAAGAGAGCACTGTCTGTCCAACTTCTCCACTCCTGAATTCCCCCAGCCCACATCTCACGATGCCCAAACTTAACAAATTCCAGACAGTGGTGATATTAAGTGGGGGGGGGGGGGGGGGGGGCTGTGCCAGAGTGTGCTAAGTCCTGTGAGTTTAGAAGATGGACACATTGCTCCCAACTCTGCCCCAGTGAAAGCAGAAAAGGAGCCAAAAATGCCAAGAGATTAAAATAAGTGAAATGCTTTAAATTGCTTAAATATAGGAAAATCTCAAGATGAAATTGACTAAATTCACCATCTTAAAACCTGAGCTTAAAAAATAAAACAAGAATTAAAATGCATGCAAAAGAAAAATAAAAAGGAGGAAGCTCATCAAATTTTGGGTTAAAAAATCTGTTAATATGCTGTTTATTAGACATTGGTTTAAAATGGAAAGATTAAAGTAAAGGGAAACCACTTCTCAGGTAACTACAAACCTGAGGCAAATACTAAATGGAGAAAATTAAGTTGTATTAATATTATATGACTGTATTATGAATATGTAAGTTACTGTTCTTATTAGAAAATACTAATTGCATTTTCTATATAAAAAATATCAAAAGCATAATTTAAAAAGATAACATATATGTATCAAAAATGCAACTGGATTGTCATGAGTTCAAGGACAACCCTTATTACATATCAAGCTCCAGGTCAACTTTGGTTACAGAGTAAGAACCTTCTTTAAAAAAGGAAAGTGAGCCACAAGATGCCCTACTGGGCAAAGGCACTTGTGGCACACTCTAGTGATGGGAGTGGCATCCCTAAACCACTTACAGGTAGGAGAGATGGCTTGGGGGCCAAGTGCACTGGCTGCTCTTCCAGAGAACTCTGGTTCAGTTCTCAGCATCCACATGGCAGCTCACAACCATTTGTAACCCAGTTCCAGGAGATCTGATGCCTTCTGCTGGTCTCTGCAGACACCAAACAAACATGATGCACAGATGTACATGCAGGCAAAACCATCCATTCACATAAAATAACAAATTAAAACTTTTTAAGGTAGGAAGAGAGAACCAATTGCACAAAATTGTTCTCTGGTCTCCACATGTGTATGCAGCATATGCACCTGCACATACACACACACATACACACACACACACACACACACACACACACACACACACACACACACGCAATGGATGGATAGATAGATAGATGGATGGATAGATAGATAGATAGATAGATAGATAGATAGATAGATAGATAGATGATAGATAGATAGATAGATAGATAATAAAATAATAAATTCAAGGAATATCTAAATAAAAGAAATTATATGTCCATGGAGAGAAAAACACACTGAAAATTAGACTTTCTCCAGTTTTCCCATTGTATATTCAATATTATTCCACTAATTCTCAACAGAACTTATGTACAAGTTTGGCAAGCTGTCTTTTAAATTAAAAAGAATCATCAGATACAGAAAATATGATTCAAGAGAATCCTGGGGAGAAAGGCCCACACTTTCCCCTGAAACCATAATTTTAAGAACAAAACCATGCATGCATGTATAGTGATGCATGCCTGAAACCCACCAGAGACCGAGGCAGAGGCAGAAGGATCTGTATTAGTTTGAAGCCACTTTGGTCTACACGGAGAGTTCCAGGCCAGCCAAAGCTACACCCTGTCGGAAATATAAAAATAAATTTAATTTTAAATTTTAAAAATAAATACATGATACAGATGTGGGCTAAGACATGTTAACCAGCACATTTGAGGGTGAGACAAACAGACCACACATGCATCAAGCTTCAGTGTGTGATGAAGCCAGCCTGGGAGATGATGTGGGAAAGGAGAGACCCTTAGCAAAGACAGGAAAACATAGTATCCTAGGGTAGTTGGCGGGGAGCACATTGTAAAGCGGATTCTTCAAGATCACACTTTCAACACAATTATTCTCAGATTCAAACCCAAACCCAGCACCACCTCACTCACAGCTGCACTAGGTGACCTAGAAGGAGCCACGCCCCTCAATCTTCTCTCCTCCTTCACAAAATGGGACTGATCCCTCCCTGTAGCTTTCCAACTGTGCCACAGGAGTCATTTAGTAAAGCTTCATGTTTCACAAAGTAGGCTTTTGGCAAGTCCTGTGTGTTAACTATCTGAGTAAGCCCTGATTTTGAACTGTAGTAAGCATTATATGTGCCTTTCAGAACTGTCAAATTAAAGTGTGAATGATACGATATAAACTCCCCGGTACAATAGCTGATTCACACATGCTCAGTAAGTCCTTAAATCTCTTTGCCAAGTTTCAGATTAAATTCAGGGCCTCCACCAAAGGTTTTACCAACATGTACAAAGCTGAGTGAGAAACTCAACATTATTGTTGTTTTTTGGGTTTTGTGGTTTGTTTGTTTGTTTTTTTCCCTGAGACAGGGTTTCTCTGTGTAGCTTTGCGCCTTTCCTGGGACTCGCTCTGTAGACCAGGCTGGCCTGAAACTCACAGAGATCCACCTGCCTCTGCCTCCCGAGTGCTGGGATTAAAGGCGTGTGCCACCACCATATTTTTAATTGACATATAAAAGTTGCACGTATTTATAGGGTACCATATACAATACGTATATTGTATGGTGCTCAAATTAGGGTAAGCATACCTATTTCCTAAATCACCATTTCTTTATGAAAAAACTTTTCCTTTGGATTTTTAGAAAATACATTACCACATTCTATAACCCCCCACAGTGTGCCTGCACACCAACACTCGCTCTTATCTAATTATAACTCAGTACCCACTGATCATAATTTTCCATCCTTGCTACTTCGCCAGCCAAACTACCATTTGACTCTCAGTGTCTAAGGGACTAGCTGTTGTAGCATCCACATATGAGATCATGTGGGATTTGTGTCTGTTTTATTTGAATAAGAGTTGATGGACTGGTTGACTTAATTATCTCTTGATTATTTGCTTTTAGGGATCCTAACACTAGGAGAACAAAGAGCAAGCTTTTTAACATGTTGTCTTTGGATTCTTAAAAAAGGCATCTAAGGCTGCTAAAGGAAATGTGACATTGCCATATTTGAACACTAGATGGCAGTCAATGGTGCTAAAATCACATCATCCTTGACTGGCCTGCTGGAGGGGAGGCATGTCAGCTGAAAAGCGAGGCAGCATCAAGAGCCTGTGACCCTCATCTTGATCTTCTTAACTGTTACAGTCTCTTCTCGGGCTTCTCCAAAACCTCTGAAACCTGGTTTTGGGGTGCAAACCTCCAAGGCCAAGCAGGGCTGAAGCCACTGAGCACAGCTGATGCTATTAGTCTTTAGAATGGAGCAGAGGCTGACTATAGAAACAAAGTAAGCCGTGGCTCTCCTGCTGGCCTGCAACTGAGGGAAACCCCAGACTGCACCTCTGCCTGCCACTGCTTCTCTGTCTGAACAGATGCCTCTTGTGAACAGTTTACTTGAATAAGGGTTGGTTGGTTGGTTGGCTGGTTGGCTGGTTGGCTAGTTGACTGGAAACCTGTCAAATCAGAGAGGATCATCACAGCTTTTCTAATTCTTTCTCATCATAGCAATCAAAATATGGAGACTGGTTGTACCATAGGTCTCAGTAGATGGCTCACCATACAATGTTTCTGAATTTCTGGGAACCTCAGTGACCTCCATGACCTTCCCAGAAGCCTTCAGAAATGACTCCACCTCGTGAGGCCTGCTAGCCTAGTTTTTCCGAGTCAGGGTGGAGCTGAGAGACTGTTAGTGGCCCCTGGGTGGGTCTGGGAGAGGTGGTGGCGGCTGCCAGGGTGGGGCAGGGTGTGTCTGAACTCTGTGGCACAGGGCTGGGTGACAGAGCAGGAGGACCAGGGTTCAGGCACAGGTTGGGGTTCCACTTAGGCTCACTGCTCAGGAAGTGAATGACTAACTCCCAAGCGCTCCCTGTATTCTGGGCTTTACTTGTTGGGTAGAAGAGGCTCTGAGTCAAACCAGCTCTTTGTGTCCAGCCTGAGTTTAGGAAACCAGTTTTGGGCAGGCTAGCTACAGACAGCTTACAGACTGATGGAGGCTGGACTATGATGGGGAGGGTGGGTAGCCAGGATCTGTTGACTGTAAGGGTCTCTGTAACTCTCTCCCCCAACAGCTGGGAACTGAAGCCAATCCCTGGAGAATGAAAAGAGCCCTGTTGAGAACCAGGAGCATCCTGGTGTGGGTAGCCACAGGTTCAAAGGCTCTGACTGAACCAGAGGGAGTGAGTGGTGCACAGGACTTGAGAATTAGGCTTACTCTAAAGACAACGGCATTGAAGGGCTCTCGGGATGAGACCCAATCTGACCCACAAGAATCGGATCACTTTCAGGCTGAGAAGAAAATGTCGTGTGAGGGCATAGAGATGCATTACGAAGCTACTACAAGAGAGGACGGCAATTGGCTAGATGTGGCTCTGGAAATGAGGAGAATGGATGCCTCAGATCAGACCTGGGCGCATTTACTGAAGAAATCAATGTGAAGGTACAGGGTGAAAAACAAAGGTATAGAGAGTGTAAACTAGGCCTGATTCCCACTACTTTAAAGTGGGCAGAGTGCCACTGGGGACAACTCCTTGATGCCCTCTCTTACGGGAACATCTCTATTGCTCTTACCATCTGCCATGTGGGCTTCTCTGTGCCCAGATGCCCTGAGCTCGTTTCTGCCTCAGGACCTCAGCTTAGGATGCTGGTCCATGGGCTAACTGGACCAGAGTGAGCGATGGAGGAACAGGACTTGAAGGTTAGGCTTATCTAAGGCCAAAGCCATTGGAGGGCTGTAATGATGAGAGTCCGTGAGAACAGGAAGCACCCGGTCTGCTCTGCAGGGCAGGGATGGGCAATGTGGCCCTGCAGTATTAAACTTTCCCACAAGAGGGCGCCAATAGACTTTGTTCACAGGGCTCTACCTTAAAACCTTCACTCTGCCGCCCAGCTGTGTGTGCATGTGGTCATGTTTGTAGGGCCTTTTGTGCTTGCCCTTACAGTTTAAAAGCGTGTTTTTCTGCTGCTCGGAGATAGGGATGGAAGAAGGTGGCCCTCACAGGGACCCTGTCTCTCCTGGTACCTGGCGCCCTGTCCCCTGCTGTGCGGGCCTGACTTTGGTCTCCGCTGACCTTTGCACTAAGGGAACACGCATTAATATTTCCTTGATCTTAACACTGCACTTGGCAATGACCCCAGAGACTTCTCGGCCAACTGGATAAGTTTAAGGCTGGAAGATTGAAAAGGGCTGGTCAGGGTTTAACACGGTGAAAGGAGAGGCGGGTTGGTTATTAACTTGGTTCTAATTAGAGGTGGCTGTGGCCCAGCAGGGAACGGGCAGCTTCGGAAGACAGGGTTACATGTAAGTCCGGGCTCTGGCGGTTTCTAGCTGAGGTGGTGTCTGCCTGTCTCCGCTGAGGTCACCAAGTCAGCAGCAGGCAGGGCACACGGACGGCAGTGGTGAAATGGAGCGTGGTGCTAACTGTTGCCAGCATGGTTGGCTGCACACACACACACACACACACACACACACACACACACGCACACGCACACGCGCACTTGCACTGACAGTGGCCCCTGTGCGATGTGGAGCTGACAGAGGACCTGGGGAGCACCTGAATGGTTCCTTAAAGAAGCAGGAGGACCAGGAGTCGGTGCTGAGGGCTGGGGAAGGAGCCAGGGAACCGAGAGCAAGATGGGGCACAGTAGATGGGAGGAATAGGCAGAGGGGTGACTCCGAAGGATTATCCATCTGTCATGACTACTCCCTGCTTCAGGCTCTGGTAGGTTGAGTAACTGCTAGGGGTAGACATCTTTCAATATTTTTTGATACAATATGTTTTTATCATATTTCCTCTCCCCCCACAGCTCCTCCCAGCTCCTCCCCCACCTCCCAACCCACCCAAGGTTATGTTCTCTTTCTCTCTCTCCCTACCAATTCAACTTTATGCCCCTGCCCCTGCATGAAGGCAAGGGGTCAATCTCCAGTGTTATCTTAGGTACTATCCACCTTGTTTTTTGAGACAGGGTTTCTCTCTTAGTGCAGAGCTCCCTAATTCAGCTGGGCTGGCTGGCCAGTGAGCCCTAGGCACCTCCCTGTCTGCCCCTGCCCAGCACAGGGGTTAGAAAGGCATGCCACTGCACCCAGAGTGAGGTGGGTGTTAGGACTCAAACTCAAGTGTCTTAATTGCACGGTAGACACCTCATCGAGCTGAGCTAGAGCGCCATCACATGAGCTTGCTCTTTCTGTCATGGCTGGTTCCTGGTGATGTTTCACTGTGTGCTGTGGTTTTCACTGTGAACCCTCGAGTGGGGGATTTATAGGGCTAGCTTGAAGGCACATTCCTCCACAGAGATTGAAATCACTTCTGCCAGATATCCCGACACTCGGACAACAGCCAGGCTCCACCTGCTTTGTTTTGTTTTGTTTTAAGTGACCTTCTTGTGGGTTTTGAGACCATGCTCAACATAGTGTTACTTCAAAGTCCCTGGCCATGAATGCTTGGCCAGTAGCTCTGGAACCTCAAGGAACCTTCTTCCCCCTCAACCCCAAATCAAAGCAGACATGGATTTTTATTTTCTTTTTCCTTGATCGCTCTTTTTTCTGGGGGCAGAGCTACTCCTGAGGACTGTTTTACGAAGAGGCATCGCCAACACAATTCTGTATCCTGCCTGGGTAAGGGGATCAATGGAGAGTGCCAGCCTTCCCTTTCTACCTAGAAAATCCCATGGCTTAACAGTTATATGCCGTGCAATGGCATAAAACTTCTTGGTGTTTGCCAGTTACCTCACATATGAACGTTTGGATCGTCTTCATATTGGCATGGCTCTCCAGCCTTACAGTCTGTCCTGTGCATTGGAAAGCAGGATTCAAATGATGCCCTTCTTGTGTGTCTGTGTTTGGAGACAGCGTCAGTATCACTCAAGAGCTCATAAGACATTTGCATCTCACGCCCCTCCCACACCCACCGAAGCAGAATCTGCAGCTTTCCCAGTGCCCTGGGACTTCTCTAGGTTGCAAAGCACTGCTTTGCATTTCCACAGGATCCTGAGCAGGGATGGGGTAAGAGTCTGTGTGATGTGTGAGGGCGGGACCAAACAAGACTGCTCTTCCTTCCACCTGCTTTTCTCCCAGTCCAGTTGCTCAAAGAGAAAGATGAGGATCCATTTGGACATCTCTGTCAGCTGTTGACTTTCAGACCATCCGACAGAACAATTGACAGAATCAGCTCTGAGCAGTTCCTGGGTCAGGCATGGCCACCACCAGGAAGCGGGCTCAGAGGCCCTGTGCCGTTCAGCCTGGAGCTCTCAAGGTACCCTTGTACCTCCTGAGCCTTCTGCTACCAGCTTCCTTTACCCCACCCCCACCCCAGTCTGTGTGATTGCCTTAGATTCATGCTGGGAACAAGATTCACCAACTCTGAATCCCATCACTGCCCATCTTTAACTCTCAAGAAGGTAAGACACAGCCCTTGTCCCCCAACCACAGGCTGGGTGTCTGCACTCTCAAAGCCTTCAGCTTCTCACCATCATGGATCTAAAGACACTTCCTTGGAGCCAGAGGCAGGACTAGACTTCATTTGGCTGCACATAAGAATTTCTGACTGGTCCCTTTTTCATCCCTAATGTGGAGGACATCCAAAAGTGTCCATAGTGACATGGCTGAAGAGACCGGGCTTTGTCCTTCTGTATACGAAGTCGACTTCTCTGGGAAGAAAGTGAATGGAGAAAACCATCGGAGTCAAAGCATTATGAACTATAAAATCAAAGGCGGGTGGTGGTGGCGCATGCCTTTAATCCCAGCACTTGGGAAGCAGAGGCAGGTGGATTTCTGTGAGTTCGAGGCCAGCCTGGTCTATGGAGTGAGTTCCAGGACAGGCTCTAAAGCTACACAGAGAACCCCTGTCTTGAAGAAGGAAAAAAAAAAAGTCAGATTGCTTTACATTCCCATGTAAAATATCCCATTGTCCTTCCCCTCACATAAGGTTCATTTTGTATTCAGGATCCCTGTGCCCTGAAGTGGGGCAGCTTCTTGCAGCACACTCAAGCTGCATCAGGGGGGAACTGAGCTAATGCCACCATGAGCCTCCCCTCATGCTGTCCCACAGCACCCCTGTACAGAGGAGAGGTGGAATGATGACAGGAAGACACAGGGAGGCACAAAGGCCAGGTGGGGTAGGATCCCGGGAAAGTGCTGTCACCCTGCTTTCTCACTCAGGCAGCCAGTCAATGGAGAGTCTGCATGAGAATTCGGGTGTTTGTGACACCATAAGTCATTTTCTAGCCAGTCCTCAGCACCCAGCAAAGTACTTCACAAAATAAATAAGCACTGATTTATTATTATAATTTTCATTATGAAATATGAATTTAACTAAATATTTCTAAATATTTATATTTACAAATAACTATACATTTATAATTTATAAATATTATAATTTGTTATTATTTATTATCACTAATAATAAATGTTTGAAAACGAATGAATCGATATATGAAGATAACTTGTGTTTTTTCTTTGGTTTTGGGTGCCTATGATAGGCAAAGATTTTCTATCTGTTAGAGTCTCAGAACCCCAAGGAGGTCTACTTGTGTTTTACCCATAGCCAGTCAGAGTGAATGAGTCATTGCGGCAAAGTTTGAAGCTAAGTCTTCCTGATGCCTAAAGCTGTACACTCTCCCCTGCTCCTCCCCGTGCCGAAGGTGGAGGATTTAGTCTTGGATCATGTTGCCTCGGAGCTGACACATTGCCAGTGGCCCTGAGGAGGACAGACCCCTTAATGGGTAAGAATTGCTCAGAGATGGAGAATGGCTGGAGACAGCGGGTGGTAACGTGTAGCAAGTGACTATGGTGTGAAGACGTGAGCTCCTCAGCACCCATGCTGTCACCTCGCCAGAAAAGCCCAAAGAAATCCCTGCCTGGGGTGGCTGGCACGGTGACCTCTGTGTCACCTCTGGCCTTGATTGTGACACAAGCTTCTATTCTAAGAATGACTTAACCATCCATCTAAGCAGAGTGGCTCAGAAGAATGGGTCTCCTTTCCAGGTGCCAACGGGGTATCTGGCAAAGTCTGGGCCGCAGAGATCTGCAGAGAGTGCTTGGTGACTCTCCAGTCAGCTTACCTCCTGTGCCAGCCTCAGCCAGTGGCCATTGAAGGGGTCTGGTCTCTTCCACACTTAAGGGGTACACAAATGTGGTCCATCCAGTAGGTTCTAATCTTCACTTTCATCTGTGGAGGGGGAACCCTGAAATAATTACAACTGAACGTCCAAGGTCTGCTCCTTTAAAACCCCATCAAGCAATCTGAGCTCAGAGCTGTGAATGCTCTGACCTGTACCTGGAAAGAAAATGATGTGTTTGGCCTTTGCTCTGCAAGGTGAGTTGAGCCAAGGTTCACCAGCCTGGAGCTCAGCTGCCTCGTTTTCATGCTAGAACCTCTCAAGCTGGAATGTCAAGAGTAACAACTGGCAAGACGTTTCCAGTGCTGCCCCTTTGAGCCTGAGAGGCGCCACACAGAAGGAGATCTGGATGCCCTGCACCCACCATCCATGGATCATGCAGCTCACAATACTTTAAGATGCCAGTTGGTGGAGGGTCAAGGTCCTAACGACACAGAGGCTCATCCAGAGTCCACTCCAGCTCTCTGTCTGTCTGTCTGTCTCTCTCTCTCTCTCTCTGTCTCTCTCTCTGTCTCTCTCTGTCTCTCTCTCTGTCTCTCTCTCTCTGTCTCTCTCTGTGTGTGTGTCTCTCTCTGTCTCTCTCTCTCTGTCTCTCTCTCTCTCTCTCTCTCTCTCTCTCTCTCTCTCTCTCTCTCTACGTGTGCATGTGCGTGCACGCCTACACGTGCATGCATGTTCCTGTGCAAATGCACATCTGTGCATTTGGAGGCTAGAGGTCAACCTTGGGTGTCATTCCTCAGAATCCATCTAGTCACTTGGAACTTCCCAGTTATCTAGGCTGGCTGGCTGGTGAGCCCCAGCCACTGCTAGTATTACAATAGGAACATCATTCCTGGATTTTTATGATGGTCTAGGAATTGGATTTATTTCCTTATGCTCCTACAGTAAGAACTTTAGCAGCTGAGCTCTCTTCCTATCCCTGACCTAGATTGCTTTTCTAAAGGATGTATTTATTTCTTTTTATTTTCTATGCATGAGTATTTTGTTTGCACATATGTGTGTCTTCTATATGTGTGCCTGTTGCCTCCAGAGTCCAGGAGAGGGCATCAGACACCCTGGGCGTGGAGTTACAGATGTTTGTGAGCTCCCGTGTGAGAACTGGTGGTCAAACCTGGGTCCTCTGATGGAACAGCAAGTTTTTAATCCCTTTCTCCAGCCCCTGATATGATAGGGATTCACTGCCCTTCTTAGGGGAGTCTTTAAACTTCTTTCATCAAAACAGACCCTCAGAACAATTAAATAGTCATGAAGTCATCATAGGCCAATACTACACCTTGTCCCCCAGTTTTACCTAGCAGATAAAGCCTTGTAAGGTTCTATTGGGGTGACAATGATATGCCTGTCTCATTTCACAAGAGAGGGTAGTGTGGTATGTGGCCTAGGTTCGAGCCCCACCCCCTTCTCAGGTGCATAGCCTTGGGCGAGTCCACTAATTAACCTGAACCTAAGTTTGGAACAGTTGACCTTGGGGAGACATGATGATAGCTGAATGAAATCACAGCCCCAGAGAGCTTAGCACAATATTTGATACATGACAAATACCCACTAAACATGGACCAGCCATGGACATGCGTGTGCGTGCGTGCGTGCGTGCGTGCATGCGTGTGTTGCTCTCAGAGAGGCCCACCCTCAGAGCAGCACAGACAGCAGGTAGTCCCAGGCAGTCTACCCTGTACAGCACTTCTCAGCGCCTCCTCGTGGCAGCCTGGTGAGGTTGGTATTGCTGTTGTCATGGGGCATCTGAAACTGACTTGCCAACTACCATCTTTCACACACAGCAGAGCTGGGATATGGGCTCTACTGTGTGACTCTCATGTAAGATTCTTCTGTGCCACTGAAGGTCCCCCGTCGGCAAGGACTGAACAAGTTGTGTCATTGAGCAGGAGTGGTGACAAAATGCCCTGAACTGAGTTGACCTGGGCCTGCGCCTCCAGAGAGTCAGCTCTACAATGCCTGGGGTACAGCTTTGAAGCCATCACATCTCCTCTCTGGGCCCCAGGGGCTTCATGTGCCACTCAAACATGTGGATGAGACAGTCTCTCCGGCCTGCCCCAGCTCTGGTCTACCACCATGCTCCCCAGATTTCAGAAAGGACTCACAGACTCCACCCTTGAAGCCAGGAGACCTCAAATCTCAGATCAGCCTTCTTCCTTGAACCCATGTTTTTGTGCATGAATTCAAGATTTGCCAAGCAAAAGCTCTGTAATTATCCTGTGGGGACTAGCCTGGCTAATAATTACCCCTATTATTTTTAATTGTATTTTACAAGGTGCCTTTCATCCAAGATCTCAAAGGACTTCTCAAACATTCATTAGCCAGGCCCCACCCTTCCCTGTATGGTATGAAAGGCAGAGGCTGATTTTTAGTGTCAGAAATAAGAGGTGGGAAGGGGAGGGGGCTGCCATCCCTAGAGCGATGTTACCTTGACGTTCAAAGGAAAGGAGAGCAGACCCTATGCATGGAAATGCCTGCCTTCTGAGCTACCTCATGGGATTTTCAGGAGCAGTGGCTGCATTAGTCAGCTATCTAGGAGAGAGTAGTTTAGCCTGGCTGAATCTGTTCAACAGTTTCACTTCACCTTAGTCCTCAGCAGGGCTTTGGGCTAGTCTCCAGCAGACAGACCTGTGGTAGGTGACCCGAGAGACACAAGTGAATAAAAGTGGCTAACCTCCACATCACAGAAGGACATTAAATCACCAGGGGCTGTGCAGTGAACGCAGGGGAGGGACCTGTGAGTACGCAAATAGCCAAGGGACAGCAGACAAAAAGTTACCCAAGGAAAGGACATGCAAAAGTTGGTCCTACCCTGGGTCCAGTGCCACCTGCCAGTGCCACCCTGTGCTCACACTCAGTCCATGAGCTTCACTGTGCATGACATCATCTCTGTACTGTGTAGGTACATTTATGGCAAGTCCAACCAAGCAGCACCCAACCTATCCTAGCCATAAGATTTGTTGGCACTTGGCTCAGACTGGGCCAATGAGAAGCCTCTTGAAGTATTTTCTAAAACTCCTAAGGGAGAAATAATCTTTTCTTTGGGGTCACCAAGGTAGAAGAGTACAGACATGGTCACTGGATGGGAAGAACTCAGGATGATGGAGGCAGAGCTCTAGGATAAAAGGGAACTCGTTGCAAACACCTGATAATTTTTTAGCTTTTACTTGATTCAACACATTTCCTTTTCACCCCCCCCATAAGCCACTTTGATTTAAGTTTCTTACATTTATAACTAAAACACTTTGTTCATATGCCTAACAGATGAATGATGTTGTGGAATGGATCTTGGGTCTGCTAGAGCATTGCCCGACTCCATCTTAACGATCTTCCTCATTCATCATCCATCCATCTATTCATTCCATTCAACAATGCATCCATTCACTACAACACATTCGATGTATATAAAAAGTTGTTGGGATCACATCGTTGAATGAATAAATGGATGGCTAATTTGTCATGACAGATTCAGTGACAAAGACCTATTACCCCTAATCCCATGTGGATATTAGTTGATAAATTGCAAGGCAAATTATGAACCGAGAGCTTGGAGCTGAATCAGCATCTGACCCTCCTCAGAACAGCCAAGCTTCACTGATGTCACCTGCATGTAGTCAGACATAAGCCATTCTTTACCAAACATGATTCTGTCATACTACAACCCCAAATGGAAAGGTCCGGATGTCATTGGCAAGCATGTGGGTTTTCCTGTTGGAGCTGGTGCTGATACTGTGACTTTCTGGTGACATGAGTGAGACTTGCCAAGGACAACCTTTCTAAGACCTGTTTTTCTCCTTGTATGGGGGTGGTCACTTTAAGCATGAAGCTGCCCAGAAGGAACAGAGGTGAGGTGAATGCTAATTCCTCCAAGTTGAATCTGCAATACCCAAGGACCAGAGTATGTAGAAATATACCAGTCACCCTGTTTATACTCTTGTGTCTCTAAGGAAATTTTCAGCTCACAGAGAAGAAAGATTGTACCTAAGGCCACATAAGAATTACAAGGAGAGAAGGATCTGAAGCCCTATGTCCCCATATGAAGCACTCTAGATGTGTCGGTCCTTTCCAGGGCTCCCATACCAGACAAGTAGAGTTTGGTGTCAAATGGTCCATTTTCTCTAACAGGTTGCTAGTGAAGTTGGTGAGTCCATGCCAATGGGTCCAGACCATCTCTCTGTGTATGCTGTCTCTTGTCATCCGCTTGTGAGCTGTGTGCCTCATTGACAAGGTGGTCACAGAATCCACAGGAAGGAAACTGAGAAGCTATGTTGTCCAACCCTGTCTGATGTCTGTGTGCCCTCTTCACGTCACAGCACACATTCATCAGATTTGCAGGTGAAAGAGCCTGGCAGGGACTGACAAGGAGCTGTGGTCTTGGTTCCCTCGCCTCCCTGACCCCCGTAGGACATAAACACATCAGCTGCTTGCTCCCTCCCTCTATAAAATCTCCAGCCTTTTCCTCCCTGCCTCCTTCTTCTTAGCTAATAAATATAGTAACTCCTTAAAGCAATTATGCTAATAAATAGTCTTCTTTTATTCTACCACGTGTCTAGCAAGCTTTTATTCTACATCCTGACACAGAATTTCTTGAAAGACCCATTTGTGCCAATTGCCCACTCTCCATTATGACATACCGACCCATAACCTTTAGTAGGATAACTTCTCCCAGTGGTCACTAATGAATGTTGCTTAGCAGATACTTTCTTATTCTTTGATATTGAAGTATTGTATTTGTTTTTGTTTTCATGGCTCATTTATTTTTAGTTTCTTTCCCCACCCACAGACCCTGTATGTGCATTGATAGATCTGTTCATTCAGCTCTTAAGCATAGGTATTGTGCCAGGAACTGAAGATGCAGATATAGATCATCTGTCATTTTTGAGCTAGATGATCTTAGGATTGGTTGATATGAACAGTTACATTCATCACAACACTATATGATGCTAAGCACTGGACCACAGATACAAAGAATCACAGAGCTGAGAGACCAAAACCACCTTGGAAGTCTTCAGGTCTAGTTCTTACATCATGCAAAAGAGAGATCTGAAGCATACAGAGAGAAAGTTAATTGCCCATGGACTTCACGGAGTTAGCAGGAAAAGTTAAGAATGTGCATGTGCTCTTCAAATGTATTCTTCTGAGAATAGCCAAAGATGACTTTTCTTGCGATAAAAAAAAAACTTTGGGGGAGGGGATTGCTCTGGGGTACAAATGCATTTCATTCAGCTCATTCTGCAGTTGAATGTCTTTCTACAGAGATCCCAATAACATGTCCTGCTGTGGTATCTAGAAGCACCCTTCCTTATAAAAATAACAGGGGGCAGGAGAGGTAGAAGCTAAGCCAGGATCAGAATTCAGGTTCCCTGCCCCCTTGTCTATTATTCTTTTCTTGAACTGTGGGAGCTGGAATGCTGAGCTCTCACCTGCCCAGAAGAGAGAGCTGAAACTCTTGCTGTAGCCTGCTGATGCCAGATCCTGCTCTGAACCCATCATAAACATTTAGATAGGAACCTGTGTTCATCCTTTTTCCAAGACAGGGTCATAGGTATGTGATGTGGGTTTTGCTTTGTGTTGCCCACTTAAAATTCTTAATAGTCAACAAGGAGCCCTGAAAATTATGTAGTCGGTTCTTTTCCCAAATCCAGGGTTTCAAGGTTTCATTGGTGCTGCTCAAAATATTCCAGTTCATGCATTTGACTAGTTTGCCTTTCTGTTTGTGTCCCTCTCTGAAGGCTATGGAAAAGATCACCTGGGAATGAGCCTTTCTGGAGTCCTTGGACCATTTCTTGGTAGGTTTTGACCTTTCTAGACATCATGGAATACTGTTCTCATGGAAATGGCAAATATATCAGACCCAGACACCAAAGCATTCACCATTGTAACAGCCTCCTACACTGGTTCATGAGCCTTTGGTGGCTCTCCAGCTCTTGGTGGCTCTTCCAGCCACCAGCAGAACCCAGCCTCTAGAGATGGGATCCTCCATATTTCCCATGAAGCATTTTCTTTCAGCTCTCCCATTTACAGTCTCTGCTGTGACCACAGTGTCTTCTTTTCCTTTTCTGGATTCTCCTGCCCCATGATCCTTTTCCTACACCAATATTAAGTCCTTACCCTTCCGATCAACTGACATTTCCTCGTGCTTTGAGGTCTGACTGTGGCCCCTCTTCTCTGTGAACAGCTTTCCCTGACTGCCCTTCTAGATTCTCTCTCCTGCCAAGGCTGCACACTTCTCAAAGACAACCAGTGTGCCACACTGTGTTCTCCATGCCCCACTCACAGCCACACACCCAGCAATGATCAATAATGAGTTACTGATGCCTTGACCCTCTCTGGAGGAGAAAAGACAGGAAATCCACTTCCTGGTGTGACTGGGTCACAGGTTTCCATATCCAGCTTGCCTGGTGTTGAAGGGTGAGTCAGAAAGAGCCTTGTTAAACCTGTTTCTCTGGCTGCTGCTCTTAGCTCAGGCCTGTTCCTGATGTCCAGGGTGACCAGAGATCTCACTGGAGAGATAAAGTTGTATTTGTGGCCCAGATACTTACAGGAGGGGTAGTTGTCCAAATTGTATGTGACTACTAGGCAGAACTCTAGACTCTGGAATGGGGTCTTTCTACAACTAGTCAGACTAATGTTTGGCTGTGATTAAATCAAAAGAGGGGAATGAAAAGCCTACGGGGAAGGGGAGTGCTCAGGAAGCCGTGTCAACGGGGAAGAAGTCATAGGAACTAGAGGAAAGGGAATTCAGAGAATGTGGCTTATGTCTAAGACTGCTAAAGGACTGCTGTGGACATGTGGAGGGGGACTGTACCGTGTGGTTAAACTGTGAAGTCACAGGAAGCCAAGTTCTGTTCAGCAGGGCCAACTGACAGTGGAGGATGAGCTGACGTTTTCTCATTGGGAATATCCAGTCAGGGATTCCAACCTGAGGTTCTAGCTCTCAGCATGATGTCTGCTTCTCTTCTCTCAAAACACCAGCTAAACCTTCCTCCTCCATGAACCCAAGTATACCTTGCTCCATCCCCAATTCCCCCTCTGGTTCCACTGTCTCTGGCAACAGTCTCCTAAGCACCTCCCAGGCCTGCTGCTCAGAATCCCATTAGTCTGACCCCATGCTTCCAGAGTGAGAACTCTGAAATAAAGATCTCAAAGCCATCCAGTGGATGGTTGGTATCCCAGGTAATGGGATACCATGACCTTTAAGGGTCTTTGTGCTTGGGTTCTGCCTCCCTTGTACTGTATAAGCCTGTATCACTGGATAATTAAGGTCCCATGCCCACCATGCTTGCTCTGACCTCTGAACCTTTGCTGGTGCTGCTTTCCCGACCCTGGAAGACTCTTCTCACCACTGCCCCAACTCTTCCTCCTCTAGTCAACCTCGCTTTCTGCTTCTTATCCACTAGGGCCTCAGATTCTGTGTCAGTTCTCCAGGAAGCATTCCTGGATTCCACATCTGGATGAGGCCTCCCTATCACATCTCTCTTAGCATCCTATCACAGGTCACAAACTTTGGGCAGTCAGCACATCTATAATTACCTGTAGAGTCACCTTTCTTAACTTTAAATGATAGGCTATCATATATAACAGGAATTTCTAATGTTCACTCTCTGATTCCAACAGTTTTTCTTAAGCTGCACCATGATACACCAGGAAGCAGGAGTTTCCTGGGCACTCAGGATTGACAGCATTTGGTTGCACAATGTGATGACAAAAGAAAGACTCACTGGTTTGTTTGGTTTCTATGGCATCCAGCTCCTTCTAGAACATGGGAGGGCAGTTAATTTCTTGTGAGGGGCTGTTTACACATTCCGCCTCTCTACATATTATCTTACTTCTGTAACTCTTGTAGAAATGGGTGTTGCCGCCTCTCTTGGCAGAAACACAGGGCAGAAAGTCAACAGTCAATAGGGTAAGCCTTGGCCTTCTCTCACACTTTCTACATGGACTCGGGCAGATCACAGTTCTAAATGGAAAAGGTAAAGTCATAAAGCTTTTAAATGACAACATGAGAAACAATGATTGTAATCTTTAGGCAGGAAAAGAGTTCTTAGACATGGCCTCAAACAAATCACAGCACAAAATAGGGGGGAAATTAATTGGATTTTTTTCAAATCTAGATTCTTATGCTCTATGAAAGACATTAAATTAAGAAGATTGAATAGAAACCGAAGAAAATATTTTCAAAATGTGTATGTGACAAAGGGCCCAATTCCAAGATAAAGAACTTCCAGACTCAAGAAACAATGTAATTAGAAAATGAGAGAAGGACATGGACATTGCCCTATACAAGGCATGTGGATGGCCAGCACTGCTCGCTATCAGAGAAATGCAAATTAGAGGAGCCACATTCTAACGCTTGTTAGAATGCCAATTGTAAAAATACTGAGGATGCAAATGCTGACAAGAGGTACTGGATCTTTAAGATTATTGGTGAATGTGTAGCATGGTAGATCCACTCTGGAAATGTGCAGCAATTTCTTAAAATGTTAATGATGTTTGTGCCATATGACCAGCTGATCACAATACTGGGCATTCATCTCAGAGAAATTAATAGTCACATAAAATCTGATAAACAACACTCATATCAGCATCATTTATAACAGAGAAACATTACAAACAACCCAGATGTCTTTCAGTGGGCGGAGGCTAAACCACTGTGATATAGCCACACCATGACTATGACCCAGCAATAAGAAGGATTGAATTATTGACAAACAAAACAACTTGGATGGATCATAAAAGTACTATAGCAAGTGGGAAAGGCCAGTCTCAAAAAGTGAGAAACCATATGAATCCACTTACAAATGGACAATGTATAGAGAAAGGGAATTGCCAAGAGATCGGGGTGAGGGAAACAGAGATGGGGGTGAATGTAAAGTGTAACACCAGAGAGAGCCTTTGTGGTGATGGGCAGGTCTGTGTCAGTTGTGCAAAGGCATAAGCAAGTGAACCCATGCAGGAGCTGGCGATGTCACTATCGAAGGGAACTGGGTCGTAGGTATAAGGGACTTCCTTATATTGTTTTTAAAATTTTCTTTGAGTACACAATTCTTTCAGCATAATACATTACATTAAAAAGCAGACTGAGAAAGAGGAAGTAAAGTAGCCTTGTACTCATTAAACATCTATCTTGTTCCAAGTTAGCTTGTTCATTTATTCAACTTACTTACTGCCTTGCCTATACAAAGCACTGTGCTTGGGAATGCAGATGCTCACCGCCTTTTTGCTGTTACAGCTTGGCTGACGAGTGTTAAGCAAATCGGATTCAAACCTGATGCCCTGCCCTCGGAAAGACAATGGTGTCGCTAGACCTTTTCAAGTGTAGTATAGACCCATAGCTCTCCTTTCCCTTTTCTCTTTGGACTGCTCCGGATTCCAGAGCCCCAAAATGTCCTGGAATAATGAGCAATCCTACTTCCCAGGGTAGGACTTCAACCTTACTAGGATTTTGCTTTGTTTTGTTTTTGTCAGATGGGACCAGCCTTTCCAGAACTGAAGCAGTGTGTATCATGGGAAGGCACTGGAGTAATTGGTTTACTTTACTGGGGGGAGGGGGTAATGCAAGGTGCCTGTGTGTTCATGTGTGTGTACCTCTGTGTGTATGTGCACACATATGTGTGTACACATGTGGTAGCTAAGCACTAGCTGTCTTTCTCTATTACTTACCTTATTTTGGAGATATGGTCTTCCACTGAACAGGAGCTCACCACGTTGTTAAACTAGCTCTCCAGCAATCCCCGGAATCCTTCTGTCTCCACCTCCCCAGCACTGGGGTCACTGGAATATGCTTTTATGCCCAGCTTTTAAGGAAGCTGGGGATCTGAACTCAGGTCCTCATACTTTCCTGCCAGTACTTTACCCATCAAGTCGTTTCCCAACTCTGATTTTTTTTGTAACACTTTGAACAGTTTTATTGAATTTTTAGAATTGCTGATTATAGTGGGAGGTGAGTTTTCAATATGTATTTTTAAATCAAGCAGGGATTTTATTACTTTAAAATTTCCCAGGAAAGATAATGGTATTTTTTTAAATAAATACAACCTTGACACCTGATACCAACCTATGAAAAAAGAGGATAATTTGAGTTATTTAAACGGTTCCTCTCCATTGTCTATCCTGGCTGTGACCTCACTGACTCACAGCTCCCTTGGTGTGTTGTTACCTAGGCATGCCCATCACTCTATGGCATTACCCATAGTAATTAACAGTGCTGAGATGTCTGAGTGTTGACATCACCTGGCCCTCAGGATAGGGCAGAACCAAGGAGCCAAGCTTATTATCACAGCTTGAATGCATCACGAAATAATCCCAGCACTGCCAGTGACCAGCAAAGATGGGCAGGGGCTCCCCAGAGCACCCTGGAAACTAAACATGTCATTCCTTTAACCCTGGAGTTCTTTCTGCCTTTCCTGTCCTATCTCAGTGGTGGTATTTTCTGATTCTTAAAGTAACCGACAGTTCTTATCCTTCTAAAAAGTACAGAAAGACGTAAAAAAGTAAAAATCAACTGTCACCTTGTTTTTCTAGATATGTCGCTTTCTTGCCTTTCCTGGACCTACACGAAATCTGACTGTGCTGAGGTCCATATTCAGGTAACTAAGCAAAAGAGTTAGTTGAAAACATTAACAAAGCAAACATTTAATTGAAATAAAACATGAAAATAATAAAAACGTATTTGCATATTCAATCTGTTAATTTGGCATGCCAAATTTCAGTGTTGATGTCTGAGTAGCTGCCGAAGGGAGTCCACTCTGTCTTTCTTGTAGACACCATATACCAAAGCAATGGGAAGAGAACCGAAAACTGTCTGGGAAGCATTCCAAGAAGAGGAGTCGGGCTCTGCAGGACAGCCCCTGCTCCCTTCACAGTCACCTTACCTACCCACAAGAAAACCACCTTTGAGTTCTCTTGATTATTCATCTTCATTTTTTAAAGTACCCTTTTGGGTCTTTCTATTTACATCACATTTAATTATGAAATTACAATAACAGTGGACAGGTTCGAAGATGACTACACAGACAGTACACAAGTGACTCCCGCTGAGCACACAAGCTGTCCACCAGCAGCAGAGGTGGGTGGGTGGGTGGGTGGGTATGAAGCCTCAGCGTCTTCCACCCTGAACTCTCAGCCAGCCTGAGCATCAGCCCCGAGGCTTTCCATGTGGAAGGGGAAAGACTGACTCACCTGTCAGTTAACCGAGTGGTTGGCGGTTGAGTAGGAGAGCTCACACTGTGTATAAACACATTCACGCCTGGTGTAATTTATTTACAGAAGATAGGATCATACTATAGATACACACCATGTTTTAGTTTATCATGTAACTTATCTCCACATAATACATATAGACCGACATCATTGCTGTGAATAACAGCCCAGCATCCTGTCTTTTGACTGCACTGTCTTTACATAGACCCTTCCACGACCTCTCAGGTTTTGTTACATTTTATGGTTGTTTGTATTCTTAGAATGCTTGTGTGATTGTTCCATAGAATAATACTCTAGTCCTGGAATTCCTTCATCGCAGGACATCTATGTTATTAATTCTGTAGATATATATAACCAACTCCCCGGAAGACATGTGGCAATGTATACACTCCTATTGGCCCCTGTTCCTCTCCTCATCCAGCCTCCTGCTGAGCATAACTCCAGGAGAAAAGAGCTCGGAGTGTAAGGCAAGGTTTCTCCACAGAGACAGTGAATGGGCTGCACAATGGTACCTAGGTCATAAACCCATCAGAGGCAGAAATGCTGAGGAAGTGGAGTCAGACTACCATACACAGTGTAGTAGAGATGACCAGGGAAGACAGCTCCAAAGACCTGGATGTGATGGATGGCTCTGTCATGTACAGGTGTGCTCCCTTCAGGCAAGTCACTTAATCTCTCTGAGCCTTAGTTTCTTCCTTTATAAAACAGCATCATCCTCTGATAGCCACTAATCTGTCTGCTTGCACAGCAGCCAGGCATGTTCCAGCCTGACTCTCAAGGAACTGTTGCCTTACAACAGGAAAGGATCCAACCTTGGGCTTCTGCTCTGATAATCCAGGTCCTGTCTAGCTTCTAAGAATGACTCCTTGCTGTAACAATTGGCTTCACCTTATATTTAACAATCACATTTCCCATACTTTCAATTTGTATGAGGCTGGGTCCAGGAATACATCTTGTGGCCAGAATGAGGTACACAGAGAACAGAGACAGAACTGCTTCCTCAATATGGACGTGTTATGTTGACAGGATGGTGGTTAAATCCGTGGTGGCAAGGGTGGAAGGAATTATTTAAAGCAAGGCTGTAGAGCACAGGGGATTAGTCAGAGAGCAGAGCCCTTTCAGATGAAGCTTCCTCCACAAACAGCTTTATCTGCCGTGTCAATGCATACGGCTGTCTATGAGGCTACTGCATCAGAAATCATTACCAATCTCTTGACACCCAATCTTTTCTATCCATTTTAGTTGCTAACTCAGGGACACCTGAACATTGACAGTCTGGAACCTGAAGAGGTGGTCTCTAATCTCTTACTGGGCCCTAGCCAGCACTGGGCCCAGTGATTCTCTTGCTCTTCCCTCAGGAGCAGAGAACCCTCCAGCATTGAACACCTCACTCTGTGGGCAGCACACAGTGGGGACTTCCACACATACCTTAACCTTACAGTTAAAAGCAGAGGCTATGGACAGCATTCTGGCCTGGTTTCAAAGCCCTCATCTTCTTCATGATCTTGTTAAGTCATACAGACATTCCATGTCTGTAAAGGGAAATAATACTTGACCAATAGGGTCATAATGTACATTTTTGCATGCAAACACATGCATGCAATCCGGTCCTATGTGGTAACTGTTATCACTGGGATTACCCCAACACAATCCCCCTGGTCTTGACCTTCATGCTGCAAGATTTCAATTTCCTGGGCCAACTGCCAAGACTTCACAGGTGCTTGCTCCTGGCTTCCCTGTATGATCCCAGTTCCCACCCTGCCTACTTGTGCCTCCTGCCTGACATTATCATCTGTTTCAATTAAAGTAATCCTTTTAAAGTCATAGTTCTTACAAGCCTGAGCCTCATTCGATAGGAGGCATTATGCTAAGCATCTGACATGTAGTGCTTCCACTAGCCATTTTGGAACCTAGGTATTAACACGCTAATGTTACAGGCCAAACAAAAAGCAGCAACTGGGCCAGCAAGTTTCAGCAACTTTCTCATGGTCATTCAGCTAGACCACGAATGGAGCAGCGTTTGAAACAGTTCGCATTCGACAAAGCTGTGTTCTTGGTGTTTGCCAAAATCCCCAGAAGCCCAGAACCACAGGTGTTCGATCCACTTTTTTTTTATAGCAAAGAAAGCTTAAGGTCAGTGTGTGTCAGGATCACAGAGCAAGCTGGGCTGCAATAGAAGCAAGCTATGAGCCAGTTCTCAGTAAAAGCCCCACCTAAGCAATTTTGAGACACCAAATGTTGAGGGACAGTTTTCCAACTCCAGAGGAAGAAAAGAAAAAAAAAAGAGACCCCTGGAAAGTTGGAGATGAGTTTACAGTATTCATCTGCAGAGACAGAGAAGGGCTTGTCCCTGGGTCTATCCTGTGGAAGCTTGAAATGGATGTGCAAAGTGATGCTGGAGCTTAGAATGAACTTGCTGTCACACCCAGGAAGACTATCTAGTGGGATACATAGCTACTAGCCCTTGAAGGATTCGTACCATTTGAGTAGACAGAGTTGGTAGTGGCTGAATGCTTGGCAACTGTGCATCCCTGACTTCAAATTAACACATACCAGATGGCTACTGTGGGCCAAGCAAGACGTTAGCACACAGTTTACAGGCTTGATGATGTTATTTTAAAGCTAGCATTACTGAAAGCTTAGTGTGTGTTTGCTTATGTTTAGCATTCATAAACTTTGCCCAACTTACTACATTTTCGGGTCTTATACTGTATGAAGAGGTAGATATGCATTGAATGTTCCCATTTTATAGATGAGGAAAGAGAGTTCAAAAGAGAGGTGTCAGGTAGGCTTTAATCCACACTAACTTCCTAGAAGACCCTGTTGAGAGTTCTAAGTTTAAAACCAGAGGGTAGACAAAAATTCTGTGATCAATTATCCGTATCTTCAAGAGGAACAGAAAAGGGAGAGTACTGGCACTGATGCTGGTGACCTAAAGATTCAGGGTCCCTGATGTCCAGCCCGAGGTCTTTTCTCACTGCACATTGCTCACAGAAAGCTTGTGGGAGGAACTAGAGGCCGGCAGAGCAAGTGCTGGTCTAATACATGACCTCTGACAGATAGTCTAGTCCTAGTCCTGGGATCTGTGAACATTTCCTAATATGGTAAAGGAAGGAGATGGGCCTTTGCAGCTATGCTTACACTGGAGCTGTTGAGGTAGGGTTATTATTCTGGATTATGAGAGTGCTCCCTAAATCAGTCATGTGCACACTTGTAAAAGGCAGGCAAAGAGGTTCTACACACACAGGAGGAGGTGTATGGGGATGGGACAGAGATCAGTGTGTCCATGAACCAAAGAACAGACAAAAAATGTTGGAAAAGCAGATTTTCAGAGTCTTTGGAAGGCTTGTGCCTTGCTAACATCTTGATTTTCACTCATGGATGCTGACTGCTCTCTAGAACTAAAGGAAGAAATTTATGTTATTTTTAATTATTTAATCGACGATGATGATTAATTTTCTCTGTCAACTTGACTGGATTTGAAATCACCTAGGCGATAGGCGATTCCTAAACACATGGATGAAGGTGTTTTCAGAGACATTCAACTAAGGGAAGACCCAACTCAAATGTGAGTGGCACCATCCCCACAGGCAGGGGCCCAGGTCTGAATAAAAAGCAGGAAAGGAGCAAGACAACTGAAAACCAGCATTCATCACATCTCCTGCTCTGGTCACCATGACTTCCCGCCATGATGGACTGTGTCCTCAACCCATAAGCCCAGACAAACATGGCTGATTCATTCATTTACTCCAACAATTCTGGTAATTTTCCTCTCCTTGGCTTCATACTTTCTTGTTGAGGAAGCCTGTAACACTTCTCCCTAATTTCTGTTTCCCTCTCCTCCACTCTCTTTCTTACCTCATCTCAAATATAAAAGTGAGAGAGTTTAGGAGGCAAGCTTTGCATACTTCATTCAGCCTCTCATTCTTCCTTCTGGGATCTGTCTGTCGCCATGGAGCATTCCTTTTGCTGCATTCCAGGGAGGTGGTGAGATGCTCACAGCGGTCCAGGAGCAGTGACGATTGCAATGGACTAAACGTACAAATGAAGAGGTGAGAAATTAAGTCACTGGCCAGAAGACCTACACCCCATTTCCAATTGTATAGGTTTATGTCAGGAATAAAGCCAGAATGTCTAACTCTGTCCACCTGGCTTTTCTGGGCATCTATCTTAACGGGTTTTTAATTCATATGGGGGTAAGCAGATATCATTTCCTGACTTCCACAACCCCAAAGACAACTGAGCTTTTAACTGTGTATGACCTGGGAATGCACAAATACCAGGTTGAGTAAGACAGGAACACATATCTCCAGGGACTGTCAGGACAGGGCAAAGAAACAGAAGATGATGTGTCCACTTTGATCAATGAAAGTCCACTTGTGCTGGTCTGTCTTTTGTCAACTTGACACAAGCAGGGGGTAATCTGGGAAGAGGGGACCTCAATAGAAAGAAAGGAAATCCTTCTATCAAATTGGCCCATAGTCAAATCTATGTGGCATTTCTTTTTTTTATTGATGATTGATATGTGAGGGCCCAATCCACTGTGGGTGGTACCATTCCTGGTCAGGTGGTCCTGGGCTGTATTAAAAAAAAAAAAAACTGAGTGACAGGAACTTTAGACCAACAGCTGTGGAACCTGCATGGGACCGGACTAGATCCTCTGCATATGGGAGACAGTTGTGTAGCTTGGTCTGTTTGAGGGGCCCAAGAGCTGGCTTTCTGGAGCCAATTACCTATGGTGGGAGGCCTTGTTCAGCCTTGATGCAGGGGGAGGGGCTTGGTCATGCCTAAACTGAATTTACCAGGCTTTGCTGATTCTCCATGGGAGCCCTCACCAACTTTTGGAGGAGAGGATGGAGGGTGGGCTGGGGAGGGGGAAAGCTGGCAAGGGGGAGTAGGAGGAGGGATGGGAAGGGGAACTGTAGTTGATATGTAGAATGAGTGGAAATTTTTCTTTTCTTTTTTTTTTTTTTTTGACAGGCATCCATATTTTATTTTTCTCTCTTTTTTTTTCATTTTTCTTTATTAAGAAAATTTCTACTCACTCTACATACCACCCACAGATCCCACCTCCTCCATCCTCCCATTTCCCAGCCCTCCCTTCCAAGCCACTCCACATCCCCACATCCCCCAAATCAAGGTCTCCCATGGGGAGTCAGCAGAGCCTGGCACACTGAGCCTAGGGAGGTCCAAGCCCCTTCCCATTGTACCAAGGCTGTGCAAGGTGCCACACCACAGGTACTGGATTCCCAAAAGCCTGCCCATGCACCAGGGATGGATCCCGATTCCCCTGCCTGGGTGTTCTCCAAACAGTTTGAGCCAGACAACCATCTTCTGTATCCAGAGGGCCTAGTCCAGTCCCGTGGGGGCTTCACAGCCACTAGTCTACAGTTCGTGGGCCTCCAATGGTGTGGCCAGTCATCTCCGCACTTCTTCCCATCATGATCTCGACATTCCCTGCTTGCAGAATCCTTCCTCTCTCTCATAGATTGGATTCCCAGAGCTCAGCCTGGCGCGTGGCCGTGTATCTCTGCATCTGTCTCTATGATGATAAGGTATTCACTAGACTGGTCACCAGAGTAGACCAGTCCAGGCACCCTCTGAATCACTGCCAGCAGTCCAAGGTGGTGTTATCCTTATGGGTTCCTGAGAGCCTCCCCAGCACCCTGCCTCCTTTTCCTTTTCCCATGATGTCCTCATCTATCATGGTATCTTCCTCCCTGCCCTCCCATTCTGTCCCTGTTCCAGCTCGACCCTCCCATTTCCCTATGTTCTCATTCCCCACTCCTCGCCCTCTGCCACCCCCCGCCCCTAGCCAGTCCGCTCATGTAGATCTCATCCACTTCTCCTTCGCTGGGTCGTCCATGTGTCCCTCCTAGGGTCTTTCCCTGTTAGCTAGCCTCTCTGGAGTTGTGGGTTGCAGTCTGGCCATCCCTCCCTTCACATCTGGTATCCACTTATGAATGAGTACATACTATGTTTGTCCTTCTGAGTCTGGATTACCTCACTCAGGATGATATTTTTTAGTTCCATCCATTTGACTGCAAATTTCTTGATATCATTGTTTTTTACTGCTGAATAGTATTCCATTGTGTATATGTGCCACATTTTCTTTATCCATTCTTCAGTTGAGGGGCATCTAAGTTGTTTCCGGGTTATTGGGGCATCTAAGTTGTTTCCGGGTTATTGCTATTACGAATAGTGCTGATATGAACATAGTTGAGCATGTGTCCTTGTTTCTTTGGGTATATGCCCAAGAGTGGTATAGCTAGGTCTTGAGGAAGACTTATTCCCAATTTTCTGAGAAACCGCCATACTGATTTCCAGAGTGGCTGTAAAAGTTTGCATTCCTACCAACAGTGGAGGAGTATTCCCCTTGCTCCACATCCTCTCCAAGCTGTCTTCAGTGTTTTTGATCTTAGCCATTCTGACAGGTGTAAGATGGTATCTCAGAGTTGTTTTGATTTGCATTTTCCTGATGACTAAGGATGTTGGGCAATTCTTTAAATGTCTTTCAGACATTTGAGATTCTTCTGTTGAGAATTCTCTGTTAAGCGCTGTAGCCCATTTTTTAATTGGATTGTTCAGTATTTTGAAGTCTAGCTTTTTGAGTTCTTTATATATTTTGGAGATCAGCCCTCTGTCAGATGTGAGGTTGGTGAAGACTTTTCCCATTCTGTAGACTGCCATTTTGTCTTATTGACCATGTCCTTTGCTCTACAAAAGCTTCTTGGTTTCAGGAGGTCCCATTTATTAATTGTTGCTCTCAGTGTCTGTGCTACTGGTGTTATATTTAGGAAGTGGTCTCCTGTGCCAATGCATTCAAGATTGCTTCCTACTTTCTCTTCTATCAAGTTCAGTGTAACTGGATTTATGTTGAGGTCTTTGATCCACTTGGACTTGAGTTTTGTGCATGGAGACAGATATGGATCTATTTGCAATCTTCTGCATGTTGACATCCAGTTATGCCAGCACCATTTGTTGAAGATGCTTTCTTTTTTCAATGGTACAGTTTTGGCTTCTTTGTCAAAAATCATATGTTCATAGGTGTGTGGATTAATGTCAGGGTCTTCAATTCGAGGAAAATTTTCTTAAATAAAAAAATTTACCGGAAAAAAAGGCTGAGTGAGCTATGGAGAGCAGGCCAATAAGCAGCATTCCTCCATGGTGTCTGCTTCAGTTCCTGTCCCTAGCTCCCACTCTGACTTCTCTCCATGATGAACTATAAGCTATAAGATAAAATAAGAGGCTGGAGAGATGGCTCCGTGGTCAAGATAAAATAAACCCTCCCTTCCCCAAGTTGCTTTATGCTCATGGTACTTATCACAACAACAGAGAAGCAAACTAATGTACTAGCTTGCCAGGAAGACTCTGAGTCCTGGGGGAAAACAGGTGGCTATTCACCTCAGAGTGAAGGCTCTTGTGTGATAATGCAATAATAAAGAGGCATTTGGAACCCTGAAGGGGAACAGAAAGAAAGCTGTGGCTTCCAGGGACCAACAGGGAACTTGGAGGGGAAGTGTCACTTACCTGGTAGTAAAGGGCAGGGGTGTGGGGGCTGAAGTGTGAGAAGTGCAATGAACTGGGTAAGTTACTTCCTTGGCTAGCTCTCTAGACTAGCCAGCAAGTAAAGCTCAAAGTAGGCATACACTTTTTTAAAGGTCACTTGGTGTGTTAGCTGGCCAGAACCTTCATTTGGATCTCGTGTCCTTCAGGTAAGACCTGAAGCTTGTTTTCTAAGAAGTGCCTTCCAATTTGTCAATAGATGATGAAGGCATTCTATGTCATTCTGGTTTGTTTTTCTCCCTGAAGTATTTGTTAACATTCTGGAATGAAAATACCACCGTTTAAAAATAGAGAGCAAGCTACAGGGATAGATCAGTTGGCTCTGTGCTTGTTCTGTAAACAGGAAGATCTTTCAATCCCCCAGAGCCTACATTAAAAAGCCAGGTGTGGCTGTTCATGCTTGTAACATCAGTCCTGGGGAGCTGGAGACAGGTGGGTCACTGGGGTTCACACCAGCCAGCTCAGCCTGCTCTGTGATAGCAAAGTCAATGAAGAGACCCTGGCTCAAAAGAGAAGGTGGGTGGCACCTGAGAAACAGTAATTAGGGTTGATCTCCAGCCTCTACATAGGTGCCCACATGTGAACATGAGAGAGAGATGAGTTCACGTGACCAAGTCTGTGTGTACCAACATCCTTCTGCAGAAGACTGCCCAGAGGTTGACTCTTTTGTCTCAAGCAGAGCAAACTTCTCAGTATAGTTTCACCGTCAAGCTCTCCATGCTTTTTTTTTTAATGCCTTGAGAGCTTTGGCTGGAACCCTATTTCTACTCTGCTTCTCCCCCTGCTCTGAAATAGTCATGATTCTCCAGGGGAAAAGACCCAATAGGAAAGACTGGATAAATGATAGATGATTAATCTATAAACACATAAATGATAAACAGGAAGGTGAAAGGTAAGTAGACAGTTAATAGAGATACATACATTGGTTCATGAGTACATGGTTTGTAGGTTTTTAAGGAATTGGCTCACACAGTTTTGGAATGACAAATCTGAAAGACACAAGTCAGCAGGCTGGAAAGAGATCTGGGAAAGAACTGATGTCGCAGTCTTGAATCCAAAAGTTAGAATTTCTATATTGCTAGCTGAAGAGGGGGAAATCTGTTCTGTTTGGGTGGGGGAACCTCAATCTTCTCTCTCAAGTCCTTCAACTATTAGATGAAGCCTATCCACACTACATATGGTGAAATGCCTAAAGTTGACTGGTTTTAAATGCTATGTACATCTTAAAAATAACCTTATAACAGTATTTCGGTTGGTATTTGACTAAGAAATTTATCACCATAGTCCAGCCCAGACTCCCTCTCCTGAGATTCAGGACCCGCTAACACAGCTTCCAACCTGTCATCTCCAGCCTTAGGGGTGAAAGCCTCCCCAGCAGTTACTAAGCTGAGGATCAACTTAGTCTCAGTTTTCCCCTCAGTCCTTCTAACTCCACATAACCACTGACCTGTGTTGAATTCACTGGGTTGAAAATATCTAAAGAGGTATACATTGATATGATGAAGTACTCACAACCATGATAATATTTAGTTCCTCAAAATATACTGGCTAAATAAATTTTGGTCCAAGCTTGTATTCTTAAAATTCATAATTCAAAAGAAAGAAACTTATCTTTTCAAGAGTCTTCAGTGTTAGTAAAGTGGCAGGACTTTGCTTTGGTGACAAAGACATGGAGACCCCTCACTGGTCAGTCAGGTCTGGCTCATGGACCCAGTGCTCACAACAGGCATGTACTGAGTGAGAACAGGAGGACCCTTTTCCATAGAAGGGGAGAGCTGATAGACAGAATCAACATTTTCCCAACAGAATGACTTACAGCCTGCAGGAAGAAACAGACACATTGACAAATTATGATCATATCACCAGAGTACCAAAGTTCACTGCTGCTTGTCACCCAGATGCCAATGAGCAGAGATGAGAACTGAATCTTTAGTGCTTTATTCAGAAAGTAGCAATATAAGAAAAAGTGGGTTCACATCCTAGACACGGGCCTCTGTCTAATCTCTCGCTGAAAGGTTATGTTAAGGGCAGAGAGCTAAGGCAATTCATCATTTGAGAGCTGGTCAGGTGATCAGCTGTCTTTCTGAGGCTTTTGATGTCTCTGCTTCTCTAGTTACATCTTTCTCCATTCCTCCTTCTGTAGATGTTAGTCTTGGGCAATTCTGGAAAGTAAGAATCAAGTTACTTTCTGCTGGTATGGACCCTGTACTCCTCCTGGAGCACCTAGACTTGGAGGAAGTTAATTCAGAAAAATCCAACCTGTAACAGTGTATACCAGATTAGAAATCACATGTACATGTGGATTCCTCTTCACAATGTGGAGTATATATGTGTCTATAATACAGAATATGAAGTTGAATGTGGGGAAACTCCAGCAAGCTGGGAATAAGGGGAGTGTTTATTCTGCAAAGCACTTTCACAGATACCACATAATTTGTTCCCACAATGCCAGTCACCAGAAAGGAGGCCTTGACATTCTCATTTTGCAGATTCCTTTGGACCTCCATGACTGGTGCTTCCTCATTGTGATATTGTAATTCTAGTATCCTTCTGGTCACTCATCCTGCCCAGGTCACACTAGCCCCAACTTTTTTTTTAATTCACAGGAATTTCAATAACATTTCTTTTTAATGTATAATTGTCCTGAAAAAGTAGTAATTTTAGATAACATATCCTTAACCCAATCATGATTCTGGTACCATCCATAACCTAAAGCACTCATCCCCAAGTATCATACCATGCCATATGGTGCTCTCATTTAGGCTTTTAAAAATCTTACAGAATAGGAGCAGACCTGTGAAAATTGAGTGACTTGGCTAAGGGGACTCAGCTACTGGGCATGAGTCCCCGATGAGGAGCTAGCTCCATCTGTCTCCCAGATCAGCAATCCCCATCACTTTGTCTCCATACCAACTGAAGAATGGCTGAGATGACTGAAGATGTTTAACTAGGAAGTCAACATACTGGAAAGAGGTGGCGTCATCATCCATTCAATTATCAGTAGACTTCACTGTAAGAGAGAAAGGTCACTGAAAATGTATGTGAAGACAAACAGAACCAACAGTGATATAGAGTTCTACTTAATAGAACTGAAATTATGGATGATAGAGAGTGTACACACATTACTGTAGGTGTGCTGGAGATAATGAAGATAACTTTTATCGGATGTGACAGAGTGAAATAATCCTGCCTCGGAGAACACACAGAGTAGAGAACTTTTAGCATATTTTAAAAATTTATTATTAAATGAACATGAGTGTGGTGTGTGTGTGTGTGTGTGTGTGTGTGTGTGTGTGTGTGTGTGTGTAGAGGTCAGAGTGCAACTTTGTGGAGTTGCTTCTTTTTTTTTCTTTTTTTCTGCATTTACATGGACCCAGGGGGTTGAACTCAAATCATCAACCTTGCACAGCAAGCACCTTTACCTACTGAACCACCTTGCAGGATCTGGGCACAAGACTTTAAATGACCATAGGACTATGAATTTTTCTCCTTTTTTTACACATTTCTTGATTGACTGATTTCAGGGGGTGGGGAGACATGAACATGCCACAGTACACGTTTGGAAATCAAAGAGCAACTTTCAGGAGTCAGTTCTTTCCTTCCACCATGTAGTTTCTGGGGACTGAATCAAGTTTTCAGGCTTGGTGGGCGGGACTACCCACTGAGGTATCACGTTGGCCACAGAAATTCCTGTGTTCTGCCTACTCCATTCCCTGAAGTTTTAGAGTCCTTGGAAGTCTGGTGTAAAATCTGGGTCAATCCCAGCTGGTACATTACCCCAATTAATTAATTAATTAATTAATTAACTAAACAATAAATAAATATGTAAATCAAAATTACCTATTGTTTAAAAAATTATCAATTTTGTGTTGATGATTTTTGAAAACATCTATGTACCTGTAACTGTTCTAATCTACCCCAGACTTCCCAGAATTCTTAGCGTCATGTTTATTATGAGAATACTCCATTTGTATACATTTTTAAGGTAACTACTTTTTTGGGGAATATTTTCACCAATTTTAATATCCTTCCTCATAGTATAAGTGAGTTACCTAAAGGAAGTGAGGGTAGAATGCCCAGGCTTTAGGGGGTGTCCCATGGGCACTTCCTTCTGTCTCCCTCTGCCGTACTCATAAGTCCCTCACCCCAGGCTCTGCACAAAGTAGCATCATGGAAGTTTCCCTCTTTTGGAAGCAGGACTCCAGCTTGTCCTCCACAGCCGACAGTCTCCCTAGGTATCCACAGGTGTTTAGGGCTGGGATCTTGGCCTTATAGCTGATAATTCTTTTTTCTTATCTGTGCCCTAAGATGAGCAACACAGGCAGATTTCCCATGGCACCACGTTCCAAAGTGTGCTCAGGTATGCTGCATCCACAGATCCATTTGACAGGACAGGAAACTAAGACCAGAGACTGACTGTCTTGTCTGAAGCAGTGTGTCAGTGATGACTGTGTAGACGTAAAGGACATTGGGAATCTTGCCCGGTGTTCCTTCACCTGCCCCACACAGCTCCATCACCTGGTTCAACTGCTGCATCACCAACAGAGAAGGAAACTGACCTAGGAAAAGGCACTCTGTGGGTCTGTGAAGTGGCCTGTCTCTAATCACAACTGGAAGCTTGGCCTCGAGTGCCTTCCTTTCAAGTCACCCAGGGACACAATGTGTTTCTGAACCACTCTCCCCTGGGGACATATTAGCCCCATGAGCTCTTCGTGGTTCTGTTATATGAAGCTCCCAGACATCTGAGTTCTCCATATGCCTGGTGCTAGCACCTGTCCAATGGGCTTCCTCCACCAGAGGTCCGCAGCTCCCTGAAGAAAGGGGAAGGTGAACTATTCTCCTAACTCCACCCTGAGGGGGCAAGGACCTGTGTGGAATTTGAAAGTGAGTCATGTGGCTAGCTGAATTTGGAGCTCTGGATGGACTTCTAGCTTCTTCTCCCCCTCCCCTCCCCATGGTGCCTCTTCAACCATATCTTTAGGATAGAGTTCCTGGCCATTTTTACCCCCTTTACTCAGGAAGCATTTATTGAGACCTAGGCTCTGCCAGTCATGGATTAGAGGCAGTGGCAGACACAATACAGTGAGACAAGCACACTGCCAGAGTGCTGAGCTGTGGGACAGAGGCAGTGGTCATCCAGGCCCCAATTAACTCTTCCCCCCTCCCAATCTTTCTCTTCCTCCTCTCTCTCATTCATTCTTCCCTTCTCCATTTTGCTCTCTTCCCTCTGAGAACTTACTATTTCTCTGCTCTCTTAGATGGTGTGAGAAGTTTACTCTGGATTCTTATGAGTCACATAGTAGCTGCTTGGCCAAGAATCCATTTTCTCCCAATTTCCTGATATTTTTGTTTCCTACCCTACCCCCAGGATCCCAGTGGCCTTTACTGTCTCCCAGGTATCCAAAGCTCTTCATTATCCCATTCTCTTTGCCTCTGTCTCTAGAAAGTACTTCTCATCTCAGACTGATTTCTAGCTCATGTCTCACTTCTCCAAACATCAAACATGACGCTATTTCAGAACCTCTCAGATAGATATGAATTGGGTGAGATCTCACTTCCTTTCCTCACTTTCTGTTGTGGGTTGAATTGTGTCCTCCAAAAACAGATGTTCAAGTCTTTACCTCCTGGCACCTGTGAATATGACTATATTTGGAAATGGGGTTTTATAGAAATAATCAAGTAAGGACAAGTTCACATTGTGTAAGGGTGGGACCTAAACCAGTGACCCCCAACCTTACAAGAATGGAAGAACAGTGTAGAGACAGAAAAATGGGGTGAATGGCATGAAGAAGCATTAGTTGAAAGGATACATCTACAGACATAGCATTCAAGGATTGCCAGTGACCACCGGACATGAGAAAGGGGCAAGGGGGCTCCTGCCCTAGAACTTCAGAGAGACCATAGCCCTGTTCACATTTTAATTTAGGACTTCTAGTCTATAGAACTGTGAAGTAATGATTATATGTTCTTTTAAGTCACCTATTGTATTATTTTTCTCTAGTGGCCCTAGAACATTGACAAATTGTCCTGAATGTGTTTGGATCTGAGGGGAGAGGAGGATGCCATTTTAATGCTTCAAATTTCATGTACTGTAGGTTCCCTTTCCTGGAAATTGTTCCTACCTAAAGCCCTCGGAGATCCTGGCAGAAACAAGATACCCCAGCTGTGTAGACAAGATGGATAAGTAACTAGAGATCTCAGAGTCACTGAATAAATAACTACAAAGTTGCTTCTCTCTTTGAAGAGTCTGAATAAAGATGCATAGATTTAGTGACAAGCAAGGAGTAGATCGTGGGCCCATGAAATGCTACAAAGTCAGAGCTGCCCCCATGTTCTAGAAGAGTGTATATTGTTTTCACTTTACCCTCTGTGAAGCGGGTATTATTACTATTCCCACTTTAGCAATTGGAACACAGAAACTCAGAGTGTAGGGCCTTTCTAGAGTGAAGCAAAGAGTGGGTTCTGTAACCCATGTCTCACCTTGATTCTCCAGAGTAGCTGGGAGCTTGAGAATGACACTTAAAGCAACCGGATAAAGTTTTGAAAGGGTCTGAACTTGGAGCTAATTCCTGGATTCTGATCTTAATGCTCCCTAGTGACTGTGGTGCCAAAGCCACAAGCAGAAAACTGTGCTACCCAAACCATTGGGTATTCTTGGCCTTAGCTCTTTGATATTATTTTGCTTGATGCTCTTGGACAACTGCTTATCTCTCTGAGGCACATAACAACTCTAAGTCCATGGTGGGGAGGGAGCTGCTGATCCCTGCTCTACCTGTTCCATAGTCTTGTTGGAGCCTAAACCTAAGTAGGAGTGAATTAGTTTGTAAACTGTATAGAGCCAGAGATAAGATTCTTTAATGTAGATCAATGTTTTTGAGTACTTGGGAGTTGTGCTAGCTGCCAGAGATATAAATGAAGATGACTGCTATCTAGTTGATTTTTGCACTCAACAGCTGAAGTTTGAGCAGCTCTCATGGGCCCTGTACTGTGTTCTGTGTTGGGAATAAGTTTGTGTTAAGACAAGTCAGGTTCTGTGTTCACAAAACTGCTCATGGTGTGTAAGAATCATAGATGTTTTAAATGTGAATTCAATGTAGCCATACTGCTCCGTGGTGGCTGTGATAGAAGCGTTAGAAGGTTATTGATATACTTGATGGGGCATCCTAACCTGTCTTTGAATCCAGAAAGGTCACTCCCAAGGAGGGGATATTTAAGTGTCTTTGAGGAACAGCAAGGCTGAGAAGCTGGGTATGCAAACAAGTGCTCAGTGATGATCGTGCATTTGGAAGGTAAAGATGGGAGCCTTACCATAGCTCCATCAGTCAAGGGAGATTTAATACCCAAACCTAGGTATCGTTGTTAAAATTTGGATACAGCTAGAAAAAAAATCCTTTAAAAGTACATACTAAAATGTGACTGCAGATGACTAAGACTCAAAATCATAACAAGAAAAAATAAATAGCAGAATACATTGTGTCTGTTATTCCCCTCCCAGCCGACTCTGTCTCTGATACACACACACACACACACACACACACACACACACACACACACACATATACATGATTCCGGTAAATCTAGCATGTAAAATATAAACCACACATGGGCTTCTGACTCAGCACACATTCGTGGTGTTGCTTAAAACAGCTCACATCTCATGACTAGATCTTGATGTTTTACATATGAAATGAGAGGTTTTTAAACTTTTCATGAGTAAGACCTGTGCATAGGCAGAAGACAAAGGATTGGAGGAAGACATCTGAGCAGGTTCCATGGCTCTCTGAAGGAAACTCTGCAGCGCATCCTGCCTCCCAGGCTGAGTGGGTCTTGTGGCCTTTTGGAACTCTTCCCTTTGGCAGGTGTCATCTCTGCTTCTCTTTATTTATCTGCTGCCACCCAAAGAGCAGAGACTCTTGTCCACGACTTTCAACCTCTAACGGTGTTTTAGCTTGTACCACGCCCAAATCAGAATCTCAGCCGACACTTGTCTCAGTCAGCACTCTCCCGCTAGCCTCCAGCCTGTAGCATGGAGTGTTAGCATTTCCTACCTGGTCCATGTGAGAAGCTCTCCAAAGATGAATACGTGGGCTGTGTTGTTTTTATTGTTATCAATGTTTGTTTGCTTTGTTTTGGCATTCCAAAGAACCATTTTTGTGCCACTATCATAAAAATAACAGTCACAGCACCCTGCTCAACACATGCTCATATCCTTTCCAGAAAGAGGAAGAAATGAGTCCAGAATCAAAGTTTAGGCAGAACAAAGTCAGTTGTCACCCATACTGTGACAGCAAACATTAGGAAATCTGTCTTAGTTAGGGATTCTATTGCTGTGACAAAAACACCGTGACCATAAAGCAAGTTGGGGAGGAAAGGGTTTGTTTGGCTTACACTTCAGCATTGCTGTCATCACCAAAGGAAGTCAGAACAGGAACTCAAGCAGGGCAGGGACCTGGAGGCAGGAGCTGATGCAGCGACCATGGAAGGGTGCTGCTTATTGGCTCACCTAGCCTGCTTTCTTATAGAACCAGGACCACCTCCCCAGGGGTGGCATCGCCCACTATGGGCTGGGCCCTCCCCATTAACACTAATTGACTCTAGCTTGTCAAGTTGACCCTCAAAACCAGCCAGTACAAAATCCTAATATGAAATACTCAAAATTTCTCAACATTGTGAAATCAGCACTTAGCATGATTTGTGGATCTGAGCCACTTTTGATGTCATCCTTACAGACCATGTTTTTACATTGTGGCTGTTTATTTGTTTATATGTTTGGGCACTTCTAGTTATGTTTCATTGCTTGCCATATGTACAAAGCAGGATGGATGGAGGGGGCGAAAGATGATGTTCGCCAACAGCTCATGACCCTGAAGAAAAATAATGATCTCCTCAACAACAGCTACAACAACCCTAAGAGGGGAGTACTGGTGAGTTGGCTGTAGAGCCTTCCTCTTGTGCTAGACAGTAAGCCACAGGAATCAAGGGAACAGGTCTCTTGGTTGCTCAAATGCCTCCCCAAGGCTGAGCAATGTTTGGTATGTAGGAGAAAGTTAATATGTGGTTATAGGATGAGGATAGTGCTACCTATGGAAGACTATTAGAGAGAGAAAATGTATAATCTTGCTTAGGAAAGTTATAAGATCAAAGCTAAAGGAAACCATTTTTTTAAAAAAAGAGTACTTTCAACCTCAGCTGCCATGCAGATTTACATATGAGGACATTTAACAAAAAGGGAAAATGGTTTGCTCAGAATCGCACAGTGTTATGGGCAGAAAAATGCTCTGCCTTTCTTCCTCCACATACTGAAATCTTTTTTTTTTTTTTTTTTTTTTTTTTTTTTTTTCGAGACAGGGTTTCTCTGTGTAGCTTTGCACCTTTCCTGGATCTCACTCTGTAGACCAGGCTGGCCTCGAACTCACAGAGATCCGCTTGCCTCTGGCTCCCGAGTGCTGGGATTAAAGGCGTTCACCACCACCGCCCGACTATATACTAAAATCTTAAACTCCAGTGCTTCAGAATGTAACTGTATTTGTCCATAGGGTTTTTTTTTTTTAATGTAAGGTAATAATGGTAAAATATGACCAGGGTGGGCTCTTATTTGATTTAACTCCTGTCCATACAAGAAGAAGAAATTAGTGTACAAATACATGCAAAGGAAAAGGAGATCACATGAAGGTACATGGAGAACATAAGAATCTGCAAACTAACGAGACCAGCCTCAGAAGAAACCAAGCCTGCTAAGATCTTGACCTTAGGCTCCAAACTTCAGATCTACATGACAATAACTGGCACTTTGGGAATCTACTACACAGAGAAAGTGTAAACTAGAAGGCAGGCTTGCTGGCTCTCTATCCTTCCCACTTTACACAACAGCACCCAGCTGGTCCCATTCAGTGTTCTCCCAATCCTGTTCCTGAGGAGGAGCATGGCAATTTTAATAAGAAAGCCTAAAGTGTACCAAGCTGACCTGTAAGCACTTCACACACACACACACACTAGTTCATTTAATTCTCTCAACGGTACTGGAAGTAAGTATCATTTGGTGTCCTATTTATAGATGAGAGAACTGAAGGACAAAGACAAAGCAGCCTGTTCAAGATTGCAGAACTACTTAAGACAGAAGCTGTGATTCAAGCCCAGGCAGTTTCAGGAGCATGCACACGCATTCATGCTTTCCTAGTGAGGCATGTCTACAAAGGTAATTTCAAAAGTGAGAGACAGTGACAGCACTTAGCATCACTAGGCTCGCTGTCATAGAGGAATTAGACACGGATATGCTTATCTTAACCTGAAGGAGCTTGTTGGAGGGATAAAACTCATGAGTAGAATAGAATCAGCAGCCTGACTAAGAACTGGGGCGTCAAAATGTATTCAGTGCAGACTCCTCCAGCATTTTAGGACATCAAAACAGAAGCATGGAATAGAAGAATTCAAGCCTCCCTCAAGTTCAACAGCACCTTAATAACCCTGAAGAAGAAAGAATCAAACTGCATTGGCCATAGCACTAGCCAATAAAAGAAATGGGATTGAATCCTCTCTCTACCACTCACTAGCCAAAGGGTTTGGAATTTATGGAATCAGTCAGAACCATCTCATGGATTAGATATAATATACGCCCAACACTGGCATAGTTGCCAGCACACACCAAGAGATCAATAAATCAATAAACAGACATCCAGTTAGGTCATGATAAGGAAGGGACCACACCAACAGGTTCTCTCCTCTTTGGAACCCTCCCCGAGTTTCAGCCTACCCTATCCAAATGAGCTGCCTTTTCCTCCGGCTCTGAAGGAAGTCCCCTGCCCTTCCTTCTATTTGTCACTCAGTTTGTTCTGCATGGCATCATAAAAGTTGATGACACATTCGTACATCCACCCATCTACTCACTGTAATTATGGGAAGTATTTTCCAAGTCTCAGTGCTGCTCTGGGCACTGGGAGTTCCAAGACAAATACAATATGCTTCCCATCTTCACTGGGTGTAGGTTTTGTGGGTAACCTACGGTGTGCCCAATAAGTAGGGCTACTTACAATAATAACAATACACTTATAACTTTACTGTTTCAAAGCGATATTTTTTTCATGAGTAATCCTAGCACTTTACTTCCAGACACTTATTTCATGGTCTATAGGATGTGGAGTCACCATATTTTTAATTCTATTCTGAATTGCTTCTAAGGATCTAACCCAGCTGGGCTTAGCTGCAGACACATTAAGGAATTATTACAAAGTACTGTGTTGAGCGCTGGCCTAGGAAAGCCCCATTGTTTTCTGGATTCTGAGGAAGGAGAGCTCCCGACTGGCAGGATCCAAGAGTATTCTTGTTTCATAGCCCACCAATCTAAGACTTACCTACATGCCTCCTCCCCCTGCAGTCCACCAAAACGGGCAGGGTGAGGCTTGTCCAGTTTATCTCTACCTTCCCTGTAGAACTCATATATTTTCTGCTTAAAAAAACAAAAACAAAAAAAAAAAAACTTTGTTGTGTGTGTGTGTGTGTGTGTGTGTGATTGTGTGTGTGTGTGTGTGTAGATTAGAGGACAACTTTGAGACTTTTCCCTTTCTGCCACGATCCTGGGCAACACACTCGGGTCCTGAGACTTGTCAAGCGCCTTTTCCCACTGAGCCATCTCAACTGCTCACTTCTGCTTTCTACAAGGAAAGAGGCCGTGATGGTAGAAGTGCCTTGCTCAAGAGCACATGACTGAAGAGCAGCAGACATTTTAAACATCTGTGAAGCTGTCCGTGACACAGAATGCTCTTCATCCTCCAAACCTCTGCTGAGGGACAGTGCATACTTAAAGACTTACTTTCTCAGTTAAGCCTCCAAATGCTTAGATGAAGTTGCTCTTGACTCCATTTCACAGCTGGGGAGACTGAGGTGAGGTAGAGATTTCCACAAGGACATCTAGCTTTGGGGTAACCCACTCCAGGACGTTGGGGTAACAGCCTGAACAAGTACCTGTAGAGCCTCCAGAATGGGAACCAGAGGTGGTGACCAGGGTGGGGCTGAGGGAAATAGCAATAGGGGGGCGGGGCGGAGGGCGGGGCACGACCGGCCGTTCTCTAGAGGTGAGAAAGCCCCGCCTCCGTACGAGAGAAGGCGGGGATTGGCTCGGCGTGGCTGATTGGCAGCGCGGAGCCGCGCGCAGCTACGGGGGCGGGGCGCGAGCCGGAAGTGAGCGAGAGGCGGCTAAGGCGTGCGGGCCCGCGAGCCGCGGCCGCCACTCTGCGCAGGAGCCGCTGCGGGGTTGGCGCCGGGCGTGATGGAGGGCCCGGGGCTGGGCTCGCAGGTGAGCGCGGCAGGGCTGGGCGGGGCGGGGACGGCGGTGGGGACCCGAGCGGTGGCCAGGTGAGGCGGCTCCACGAGGGCGGCGGGGCCTGGGCCTTGGCCACACTGAGAAAGATGCTGCTAGTCCTCCGCTGTGGCCGCGAAGCCGGGCCGGGCTCGCCTGCCGCTTCCATTGGGCTGCAGGGCGTCACGCACCGGCCCCTGGCTAGGCTGGGACCTGGAGGGTGTCAGGTGACACACCTCAGGTGGCCCAGCCAGCCCTACACCTTGGCCTGGAGTCCGAGAGATTCTATGGAGTCATTTTCAGCCCTAGCGCCTCGGCTGCCGCCTTCTCTCCCTCCACCCTGTGCCGTCTTAGCTCTTGTTCCCACCCACATCCTTCCTACTCCTTGAAAGCCTTGAGGCTGTGGAGGCAGGAGGAAGGGAGCTCCTGGGTGCTGTCTGCAAAATCCCAAAGGACTCTACTTGAGGAGGGCGCCTGTTACCCAAAGCTAGGTTAGTCCCAGAGGCCACAGCGGAAGAGAACTAAGAATTTGTCCCTTTTGATTGTGACCTCTAAAGACTAATAACTGGCATTCAGTGGATGCTCACTATTTCCAGGCTTGTTCAATCCTAGCAAATATTTAACATGTACCACATATCTTTGTGTGCATCTTTTTATCCCAGCATACTTAAAGGAAAAGAAATTCCCACTTACAGGTGAACAAACTGAAGCAGTCTCTTCAGGTTTCCAGTGAGCTAGAAGTAGATTTTCCAAGCAGTTTGTGGTGATCATACTGCTTGGACTCCTTCACCTTTTTTTTTTTTTTTTCTAATCCCGACAGTGTTCTTCACATCTCTCTTTTTTCTTCTTCAACCAGTTTGGTGTAGGTTTAAGTGGAAAATAACATGCTGAGGTGTTTTTATTGGGAGTTCTTGCATTTTAAAGGGAAAAAAAAATGATGTGCAAGGGGACTGGATTTTACAAAAGGGTATAGACGCTACCTGAAACTGTGTTTCATTATTTTTCTCAGACTCAAACGTTGGTAAGAGTAGCCATCATTTCTTAATTACTGTCATTCATTAATAAAAGCCTGTAAGGGCTTACAGTGTACCCCTCCATGCTGAAGGGAAAATTACCCTGCCCAAGTTCTATGACATCAGAAGGGAGAGGATGATTTTAGAGGTTGAAGTTGGTGGGGCAAGACAGATTAATAACAATTGCTATTGTTACTTTCTTCAGTTATATTGTGAAGAGCTTACACTTCGTAGCTATCCCCCGTTCTTGGTCCTCACTACTCACTTGTGAGCTAGGAAAGAGTAATTATTTCTAATTTTAAAAGTGAGAACTGAGACTCAAGAAAGTGGAGTCACAGCAGTACGAGTAGCTCAGTGTCACTGCCAAGATTCCATTCATTCAGCTAGTAAATGTGCTTTGAATGTTCTCTAGAAGTTAGGCTCTATTCTTCATGAACAAAACAGACAAAAACATCGCTTTTACTGAATTTGATACTTAGTGCTAATAGGTGTTTCCAGCATTTTTCTCTCAAATCTGGTTCTCAGTTACATTTAAGACCTCACCTTTTACAGTTTTGTTTGTTCAGTAAACTCCCAGCTACACTGGGCTCTGGGCCTTTATGTGTATTTGCTCTGCCTAGAATGCTTTCTCCTAGGCATTGATGTGGCCTATTCCTCCATCTTTATAATGTCTTCAGACAAATCTCACCTCGGTGTAGCATTTTCTATCCTCTTATACTTAAAATCACAAGCCTTTCCCATTATCATCACTAGCAACAACACTCCCTGACCTCCTTCTTGCTTTCATATTTCTCCCCAGCATTTAATATCATGCAACATCATCATGATAGTGATGATGCTCTCTTTCCCCTCTTCCAGAAATAAGTGCTATGAGGGCAGTGATTTGTATCAGATGTATTCATTGCTTTGTGTCAGGCATCAAAAATGAGAGTCTAACTCTTTAACAGATACCTTTGTGTGTCATGTGACCTGGTCTTTTACACAGCATGGTAACTGGATTCTGAAAGAAGTGTGTCTTAAGAGACAGGAAGAGAAAGGTGCCCGTTTCTAAGGCTTAGACTTGCAAACTGGCACAGCATCATTTCTGTAATATTTTATTAGTGAAGCAGTTCACAGAGCCTAAAGTCAAAAGGAAATGACATAGACCTTCACCTCTTGATCTTGAAAATAAGAAAAATTGGGAGTCTATATTATAAAGATTGCCACAGGTGTACCTATGTGCCTCTTACATAATGTTCCTATTTTGGCTTTTTTCTTCCCTGTGGAGAAGTATCCAGCTAATTATGTCTTTCTTGTTATTCTTTTCTTTTCTCTTTCTCCTCAACAACCCATGTACAAAACATTTTATCCTGGTACCTTGAGTCATTTGGGAACTGGAGTCCTAAATGGACAAAAGAAAATCAAATAAATTGGAATCATAGACCACTTAGAGCCAAAAACTCTTTAGTTTTCATCCAGCTGAATAGATTATAATTACTGTGATATACAAGGAATCCTAAAAGGTTCTTACTTTCATTTCATTTTACTGTAACTAAGTACATGTTGTTTTTGGCTATGTATGACTCTGTGTCTGTTGTTTTTTTTTTTTTTTTTTTTTAGCAGATAAAGCCAAATACACCTATGCAAATGAGCATTATGGTTATGGTTATGGGTAAAATGGATTGAAAACACACCCCTCTCTCCAACTGAATAGCTATGAATTCTGGCAGACTATATAACATCTTTAGGACTCTAGAAAAGTAAATGGTAGAAATCAGATTGAAGACAATCAGAAATTATACTTTACCAGCCCAGCAGATAATTTACCTTTTTCACTTCTGATTTGCCCTGTTGTAAACTTGAGTCCTGAAAGAGGGCATCTGTGTAGACAGAGTGCCATAAGTAATCCAGTTCACTCAAGAAGCAAGAAAAGGATCTGGCAGCATGGGTGCTAGAACTTTCTTCAGTAGCCAGAAGAATTGTCATATCAAGAGTAGCTCCTGCAACTGAACACAAAATAAAATTCTATCTGTGAAGTAGCAAGTTGATAAACTGGACATCAAAATTTAAAACTTATCCCATCAATGCTCCTTTTAAGGAAAGGAAAGCTACAGCCCAAGGGAAAATATTTGCAAGTCACATATCTCTAGTACTATATCTAGATTGTTTAGAGTCAAGAACTCTTAAAACTTAACAAACAGTAAGAAAGCAAATAACACAAATGGAAAATGAAAGCTAGACATGTTAGCATATACCTGATTTCCTAGTTCTTAGGAAGCTAAAGCAGGATCACCACAAGTTTAGAGGCTGAACTATATGTAGTGAGACCCTATAGCAAACAAGGGAAGTTGGCAAAGACTTGAACAGAAACTTCATTGAAGATATGCAGAAGACAGGTGAGCAAATGAAATAATGTTCAGCCTCATTCACCATCAGGGATATGCAGATTAAGACCTTTGTGAAGTATGCTATACATCTGTTGTGCTAACAGTTGACCACGTAGATGGATTGGATAGTGTTCTTTTCAAGTCTCCAATTCCCAGGTTGTTGTTGTGTTTTGTTTTTTTTCTCTATCCTGTGTTATTTTTGTGTTCACTCATACTACAGTTAGTGAAAGAAGTGCTGTAATTTTAGTTCTGTCAGTTTTTACTTCATGAAGTAAAACACTTTTTACTTCATGAATTTAAACATTTGAATTCAATACACATTCAGTGTTGTTATATCTTCTTAATTAGTTAGCTCTATAATATGAACTTTCCTTTACTCCTCAAAATATTGTTGGCACTTGCTTTGTCATATTTTCATGTAACGTGCATTTTTTATGCTTAATGTTTGTGTACCTCTGTGTATTTTTATGTTTAAATTCAGCTTTCCATAGACAGCCTTTTTCTAGCATTGTAGAATTCACTCTGTACATACCTGTATAGAGTATATCCTTTTTACTTTTTAAATTTAGAATACATGCAAATAATATGTCTTTGTTTTTAGGAAACATTGAGAAACTTTATCTCAAATTTTAAGCTTTAGCAGCTCCCCCCCACCCATCCCACCACCACACACTTCCCTGCTTAGCTTATTTCTTTCTTGAAATCTGCTCCCAATTTGAGCCATCCCAGCCTATTTCATCTATTATTTCTGGCTTCTGATTTATAGAGAGGCCCTGAGGCTGTAGCAGGCCTTTTAACATTGCAACACAATGTTGTTACAAAGTTACCTAAAATAATCACCAACAATCTGATTGTGTTAAATAAGTTTACTATTTTGTTTTGGTCTGCTTTCAGCACATGAGGCTAGTGGTAATTCTGAAATTTTGGAGTTCATGGTAAGGTTCACCAACCTTCCTTCCTTCCTTTTTTATTAAAAAATATTTTTTGGTTATGAGCCTAGCCTTTAACGGCTGAGCCATCTCTCCAGCCCAGATGCAGAGATCCATAACCAAACACCAGACAGAGCTCCAGGAGTCCAGTCAAAGAGAGAGAAGAGGGATTCTATGAGCAAGTGCATCAGGATCATGATGGGGAAACCTGCAGAGATGACCAAACCAAACTAGTGGGAAGTCATGCAAGTTGGATCAATGACTATGGAGCGTGCATGGGACTGGTCTAGGCCCTCTGCATGGCGAGACAGTTGTGTAGGTTGATCTGCTTGGGGCCCGCCTGGTGGTAGGATCAGAATCCATCCCTGGTTCATGAGCAGGCTTTTTGGAGCAGCCTTGAGGCAGGGGTAGAGCTTGGATTTGCCTCTACTGG